GACAAGCCGGTAGGCTGATTGGCGATCTGTTCCGCTCAAACACCAAGCAATATGTTTTCGGCTGTTTTCATGGTAGGACATGAACGTGAAGCTAACGTCGGGTTATAAATAAAACCTAGCGCGTCTTTTGCTGTTATCGTTATATCCACGCAAGTTGACCGTTGAAGATGACAAACTTTTATTTTCGACCGTTTTGCGATTGTATTTTTTTAGATTCTTTGATTGAATGCAGCATTTACAGTTCAGATAATGTTCAAAGATGCATTGGGACTTACGTTGATACCGTGCAACAATGTCATGATCATTTAAACAGCATTATGATAAAACAAACAGTAACTTTGTGCCCACATTCAAGCTGAGTGAGCTATGTCCGAGGTTTTTAATCCTAAATTTGTAGAAGATGCATTTGGCGCGAATATATTTAAACAATTTTTGGTTGTTGCTGTGGCAAAGGTGGGCCAGAATTTTTTTTTTTCCGATTTTACCATTTAACTAGAGTGAAGGTACGACCTGCCTGCTAAGTTTTAGCAAAAACGCCCAGCCAAAAAAATCACAGAAGAATTAATACGTGATGACATTGGAAACTACACACACACACACACCAAAAAGGGAAATCCTAGGATGGATCGCCAACAATTAATCCATACATTACCTAGACTTTATTATATAGTCGATCATTGAATGCATGCATTTACATTGACACATTCACAGAAATACTTTATATGTATGTACCAGTATATTGCAGAAAAATATTCATTTGTCTGATATCAAAAAATATTGTCTTGAGGATATTATAACATTTATAGCCTTTCAAACCAAACACAATGTCGAAATGGAAGATTATTAATGAAGCAAGTATTTGCATTCAGGACTGACGGAAAATCAAAAAAATCAATGCAAAACAAGATACCGCATAAAAAAACAAAAACAAGATGCCTGCCAGTCGACCATCTTTAATCCAATTGCGAAATAAATTGTCATGGACATGTGACCTAACATGTATAATCTATGTACCAAGTTCGAATGACAACTGACAAAGCATGTCCAAAATACAACATTTTCAAAAAACAAGATGGCTGCCAGTCGGCCATTTTTAATCGAATTGCTAAACCACTGCATGTGCATATGTCCCACATAAGGTACTAGGCATATGCAAAAAATGAATGGAATCGGTCCACAGGATTCTGAAATATTACTATTGACAGACTGACGCACGAACGGACGAACAGACTCAGAAACTCACTGACGATCGGGGACATGTATCCTAACATGTATGATCGATGTACTAAATTTGAATGAAAACTGACAAAGCATGTCCAAAATACGACATTTTCAAAAAACAAGATGGCTGCCAGTCGGCCATCTTTGATCCAATTGTGAAATAAATCGTCATGGACATGTATCCTAACATGTATAATCCATGTACCAAATTTGAATGAAAACTGACAAAGCATGTCCAAAATACAACATTTTCAAAAAACAAGATGGCTGCCAGTCGGCCATTTTGAATCGAATCGCTAAACCACTGCATGTGCATATGTCCCAGATAAAGTACTAGGCACATGCAAAGAATGAACGGAATCGATCCAAGGGATTCTGAGATATGACTCTGGACGGACGCACGGACGCACGGACGGAGACCGAATTAAAAGTCCCCGTTTTCGGACTTCGTCTGAACGGGGAACTAATAAGGTTGCTTCAACTTACACTATCAATTCATTCATGTTTCCTTTATCATCGTCATTCAACAATTTTTGACGAGGTCACATATTCATATATGGTTGAGTATGTTTATTGCAAAATGTTTCAATAAAGTACTTGTT